AAGAAAATTAACTCTATCCCAGCCGAAACCAGGACAAGCCAAATGCCCTTAACACAGTATCCAGCCATACCTCTAGAAAGTCAGTATTAACAGATGGGTAGAATAGAAGGACAGACAAAGTGTCCTGCCCAGAGTCATCAACTGAGTCACATGTATTGATTCTCAGCCTGGCACAGTGCATTCAAGATGAAACATTTGGACTGGGTGCCTACAAAACTTAGGCTTGCATTCAGGCTTTTGGTTTGAGCCTATAGGTACTTTAAAGCAATGAAACGACCATCAGTGTATCAGCTACATCCACGCTTGTGCTGCTAAGGTGGAGAGAAATAGAATATAGGAAAGGCCTGAATGAATGGTAGCTTCTAGCTCACGTAACTAAGTCACTTCCGTAGAAGACTGCTTGCTTGGCAAATGTTCTTTATGAGTTAGTGTGTCTATAGAGATGTGTCCCTGGCAATGGCATCCCTCAAGTCTCTGCTGACTTTAACAGCAGGTTAGCACAGGCAACAATCACAGCGCTAGTCCCTAAGCTTACTGTGTCTGTTTCTAGGGATGAATCATTGCCATTGAGATGAACTGGGACTGTAACTTTGGGCAGCTGGTTTTACGACTGCAGTCCAAAGTATGGTTTCCACCACCTTGATGACAAAAAAATAAAGCCTGGATTCCACTTCAGGTAAAAAGTGCTACATGAAGCAAGTAGCATGTTTCCTGAGTTGAAGCAAAGATGTGGTGAGGTACAGGGAATGATGACTTGGAATGACAAGACATTTGATTCTCCTTCTTCACTCTTGTAGTCATGTCCTTAACCTGCAGTTACTGCAGTTGTATAGATGTGTCATCGTGGTCACCTTCCAAATGACCATGCTTGTATTGCAGGAGATTTGATTTCTGTGTTGAAAGGCCTAGCAATTTCCAACAAGTATTCTGGGAGCTAACACAGAGAATAGTTTGGGCAGATTCCACCATATGGCAATTGAGGCTTGAAACTACCTAAACTTGTGAGTTTCCCAAGGCAATTAACACAAATAAAATAACAAAGTGTTTTTCTTCCATCTGGGTAACTCCACAGTTCACTGAATCAGGATTTATTCAAAAGCAAATTAGAGCTTTTGGTTCTGTGTGCATATAGCAGAAGTTTTGACAAAAAATCTTGATGTGACTCCAGTTCTAAATAGTTACACAAAGCATTTATCACATGCTTATCAGCATGTTTAAAACTAAAGTTGTCTTTCAGATCTAGGTCAAAACTCTTGTGTAACAACACTCTTTTTTTGACTCACGGCATGATTATTATTATGGGTTTTCATACATTTGTGATGCTAACATGAGTGCTGTAACTGTCTAGGAGCTGCCAGCATATTCCAAAGCTGCACTGTGCTGGAACTGTGCAAACAAAGAACATACAGGTGTTCCCTCTGACCTGGCAACCACAGACAGGAGGTGGGGGAGATCACAAGGAAAAAGCAAGACAGTGCTGTGAGGCTGAGGCCAGCAACCTTTCTGTTGAATACATTTTGTAGGCAAAGCAGTTTCTGAGAAGGCTTTTGGAAGAAGACAGTGGAGTAGTTTTGAGGATGTTTAGTGGCAGATTAACAGCTGGCGTCAAAATGCCAAGAATGGGTTTGCCCAAAATATGTTATCTTTTAAGCATCAAAATACCAGTCTGTAACAAAATTATTATGCTGCATTCAGCTGAAATCTCTACTGTGGGAAGTGAGCCTGGTCTGAGAACATAGGCTGCTGGGAGAGCGTGCATGATGCCAGACCACATCCTGGTGGCGTGACTCTGTATATGTTAGTCAAGGGGTTTATTGGCAAAGAAATGTCCTTCTCTAATGTCTCCAAAATTAAAAAAAGAGGAGCAGAGTAGTTCAGTGCAGCAATTTAAAAAGAAAAGACAGTGAAAGTTGAAGAGCAGTGAATAGACTGAGCATAATACTATTTAAAACAAGCATGGATGTTTTGGCGAAGAACGTGCACGAACCCTGCCACACTGTTGAGCTAGCGTATGCCAACTTGTATAAACAGAGCTGCTGATTTCAGTAGAACTACCCAAGTGAGTAAGGGGGGGGGTAGAGCTAGAAATGATCCTACAATTAATATATTTCAAGAAAACTTATTTGACATCAGTGACATGTCATAAGAATGTAAAATATTATCATATCAGAGGTCCATCCAGCCCAGTGTCCTAAAGCTAACAAAGATCAATAGCAGGAGAAAATTTTGGAAAAGAGCATAAGAAACAGGGCACATACAGAATGCTGCTTCTCCTGCAGTCTAGCTATCCTAGAAGTCAGGAAAGCAACTTTGGGCAGCTTATAATCTCTGTCTGCATGGAGCCCCATTGATTTCATCTCAGTTCCAAAGGGAATTTTGTGATAGACTTAAATGGAAACAGGCTTTAGCCTTCTGAAAGAAAATAACTACTTGAGGTGCAAGGGAGCAAAACTTCAGCCAGTGATCAAGAAAGCTCTTAACAGATCAGCTCTGGGCACAAAGCTGTTACAGAGGAGAAGGCTTCTATGCCATCAAGAGCAGATGTGAAACAACCTCTACCCTGAGGGCTGGAAAAAACCTCTGATCCTGGAAAGAGCTAGGAAAACTTTCAAATAAAACCTAACTGACCTGCAGGCTTCAGAGGCTAAGAGCTAGCCAATAAAACATGCCTTGGCCATAGACTGCAGAACCGTTCAGCACCAGAAAAAGGGCATTTCATGTCTGTGCAAGCAAGGAGAAAGCAGAACACATTACAGTGTGTTTTTCTGAGTGACTCACTGCCTTCAGAGAATACAAATCAGATCGTGGTGAATGGGAAGCAAATGATGGCATGATCTGGGGAACTCTGATTAAAAGCACTCTGAAAGCCAAACTTAGCTTGCAGTAGGATGTGCGGGAGAGAGTGGAATCAAGTAAAAGCTTGCTCTGGGCTGGTTTGTTAGCATCAAGATGGCAAAGCAGAGCAGCAGGGACTGAACCCAAAGAGAAAGGAAAGGAGGAAAGTGTATTTTTCTTTAGATGTCTCTATCATCTGAATGAGTACCTGGAGATGCTAGAAAGCAGAGGGCTGAGCTGATGGTATTTACACCAGACATACCCTCTTAAACAGTTTACTCTTTTGGTACTTGAACAGTCAAACAACTGCAAAACAAAATTTGATTAGCAATGACAGAGTGATCTGTGAGTATCTGCTGCCCCTGGAACTGACCTTCTGTCCCTTCAGCTAAGCAAATTCCTGTTCAAATGATTTATCTAAATGAAGGAGAACAGGACTTAGAGTTCACTCAAGTAAACCAGTCAAGAACAATACAGCACTTTTAAGTCCTGACAGCATGTCTGAGGCAGAAGACATATGGGTGTTGTTATCCGAGGCTGGATATTAGTACCACTGTGTGTTTTAGTATGTCTTTCAGTTTAATGTAATGATTTTGTCTGTACTGCCAGCTTTTCATTGTCAGATTTAAAAAGATCTCTTTGTTCCATGCTCTGTGGCTGCTTATTGATCCATAAGCTGATGTGAGCTGTGCATCAGGAGGGTCACGTTCTTGACGGAGTAAGAACCTGGAAGTTAGTAAAGGCTCACATAATTCTTGCCACTCGCTACTGATCGAAGAAAGGAAAACGGCTGATATCCAGCATGCTGAAATGTGCTCAGGAGTTCAGAGTTGGTCTTGGATAACATGATATTAAAGCCTTCAGAGCATGGGCACTCTTGTCATTGCCAGATCCTCACACATCCTTGCTGGGGTTTTCTTTTTCTGCTTTACCTGTGATTGAACTGCTTTCTGCAGCTTCAGGTTCCAATTTGAATTGAGACAGCAAAACACTCGTTGGACATTAGTTGGATTTTTAACTTGTTTGAATCTCTATATGTGTATTAATTTAGTTTAGACTGCCAGGTCAGATGCTGGGCAAAATACATCAAGCTGGGCTCAGCACCTTCATTTCAGAAGGCTGAAAGGGCTGGAGGAAGAAGGGAGAAGAAACTATGCCTCTTTGTGTGTTCTGCAGCCTCATGGCATTGTATCTCCCAGGGAAGCTGCACAGATCATCATTCATTCTTTTGCAGATATGCAATGTACTACAAGCTACCACATGGGAAGGAGCAGAGAACCCTTTTCAAAGTCTATGGAATATGGTTTGATGTCCTTGTCTTTGGCACAGTAAACGCAATTCTTTTTCTTCGTGGAGGGAGAAGAAAGCTTGCTATTTCCTTAGCCCCACTTCTGCCATATACTGCTCTCCTCTCTTGTGTCCATCATTGTAGGATGGAAGTCATGTTGGATGAGTAGATGTAAATTGATCTGAACAGCATAGGACAGCAAAGCTGAGGATGAAATGGCAGGGCTGGGAGAGAGGCAGGATTGTTGTTTAAGACTGAGACAACAACAGGTATCATCATGATGTGATGTTATTGTCATGAACCCCGTGTGTCACCACTGTTTTCCTCTCAAGTTGTTTATTCTCCCCTGGTTTCCCTCTCAGGTTGTTTATTCTCCCCTGCAAAGTGTCTGAGATGGTCTATGAAATTCTGGGATTGGCTGAATTATAAAGAGGCAAAGATACATTGTGAAGAGACAAAAAGAGAAAAGCCATTAAGTTGAATGAATGATAACAGATCTTGCCTCCCAGTTATTCTTTTCTGCTTGCTTTAAGGGTGGAAAATTTAACGGCATTGAACTCATTAAAAACATTGGGTCCATGATCTCCTATTTTGGTTTGGCGAGAGACTTATTTTTTGTGTTGATAAAACCAGTTCTGGAGATACAGTCTCATTACAAAAGTGGAATCACTACTTGCTTTTTTTTCATGTGCAGGTTGTGAGTACCACTGCAATTGCTACTTGGGTAGGTAGTTGCTCCAGCTGCGGCAAATCACCATTCTACAAAATTTACAACAGAAAAAAGTCTGAGACTGTGCTGAATCCAAGACAGGTAAAGAATGTAAATTGCTGCTCTATGGACACAAAAATGCAGCTGATCCAGAAAGCTTCCATGGAGCTGTGCACAGCATGCACTGCATGAGTACAGTGAGCTCTACACACAGCCTTGACATGGCAGAGTCACACCAGCTCTATCAGGGAAACCTGCAGGGAGTAGTGATCCTTCAGAACCGCAGAAGGATGTCATGAAAGGGTTGTCCATGAAGAGGGCATTGCTCAAAGCCTCTTCCCTGCCAACTTCAGTTGCCTCTTCCTCTTTTTCAAGATATTAATGGTTATTTCTCTAGGCTGCCTCTACTATTTCCCCAGCATTTTAGACATGTATTTTTAAAGAAGAGTGAAGAGGAGAGTACCTAAAGACACAACCACACTCCTACAGTTAGTTCCATACCTTCTCTTCCCGTTCCCTCTGTTCCTGCAGCTCCCCATGTCCTTGCTATCCTGGATACTGGAAATATGGGCCCTTGCAACGTGCAATTGCAGAGGATTGTTATTGGAGTACAGACTGCAGAACCCAAGCCCTGAGGTCAGATCTAAGCTGTGTTTGTCCTCAGTTCTCCAAGGAACTACTCCAGCTGACAATGCTCGGTTCTTCTGCTGCACAGGTGATGTATGTGTGCTATGCTGATGAGCCACATGTTACCTTGATAAAGAAGCCTTTGAAAACAAGCTCACAGCCTGCTCAAGGCAGCATTGTTGAGGTAAAGACAGACACTTAACCTTTGGGATCCTCCCTTCAGAAGGGAGAACTGAGGAATGTCATTCCAAACTGATTTGGGTTTCCGCCACCCCCCCATATTTCCAGACTAGATTCTGAGAGGCTAAAACTAGATTCCTATTGTCCGCTTCAAGTTAATAGGTCCTGTGAACAGAGGATGTATTTTCTAGAGTCAGCTAAAAATTGCTGCTTTCCTGTGGTGGGTATGTGCCAGCGGGAGTACGTTGGTGTTGAAACAACTTGCGAGGTGCCGATTCAGTTTCGCTAGGGTGGGCGTTGGCAGCACAGAAAGACAATCCTCCTCCAGATCTGCTGATCTATCATCATTATCCCTATTGTGCTGTGTCAAATGAAAAACCCAATGGCGAGGATCACTCTTCTAAATTCTCTCTGCAGTTGGATGAAGCAGCAAATGCTGTTTTCTTCTCTAATTTATGTTGGAATTGTTGTTGCAGAGCCACCCTGTGAAATTCTGTGATGCTGGCAGCTGCTGCACCAGCGAGTCCAACGAGAACCATGATAATGAAGAATACGAGCTGGGGCGACCTCTCAGACAAGGGGCCTCTTCCCCAGACTGCCAAAAGTGGTGCTGCTGTGGCAAATGCCAGCCAACACAGAAGTACCATGAGCAGCTCTGCTGCCGAAGGAAAAAAGGGCAGTGCATCACAGCCTCCCATTGCTTTCAGCAGCTGGTGCTGTCCAGTCGCGCTCTGAAGAAAGCCCTTTTCTACAAAGACCCCTTTCTGGACTCGACAGATGGCAATATCAACAACCAGCTGCATCACCTTGCTTACAAGCAGTACATTCACTGGCACTTGGGCTTTTTTGATCTGGAAGACAGAGCCATCATTCCAAGCCTGCTGCAGGTGGAAAATTAGAGATACTTGTCCCAAAGCAGTCAACAACTATACTGGTTTTTAGATGGAATGAGGATGTAGCACAACCTCAGCTCACACTGTGACTCACGTTGGACATTTAACCTTTGTTTTCTTTCACAGACCTTTAAAAAAAAAAAAAAGAGAAGAAAGTGTGTGACTTCCCAAAATTTTCTGTAGTACAGCTGAATTCTTGTATACTGTCTTTGGAGAGGCACAGTTGCCTACTGCTTAGCATAGAGGAACGGATACCTTGAGCTGAAGTGCTTGCTTCTGTCTTTGCTTCATTTTGTGAGTCACTCCACGTGATTTGGAAATGGAGGTTCTGGGATGAATTCTTAGGGCTACATTTTAGCGGGAGGTTCCAGGCCTCCTGCCTTTGCGCTGGTGCATACCAGGATCCCAGCTGAGTCGGGAGATGACCAGCAGCCTGAAAATAAGATGGAGCCAAGAGTCATCTCAAAGCATGACCCCTGAAGGAAGGAAGTCCCAAAGAGGTATCACTTGAAAACATGGTCCTGAGCATTTTTCTCCCCCAGCCTCACACTTTTCTGCAGCCCTGGATCAAGAGGCTCTAGAAAGAGGAGGCCACTGAGCATGTTGTTTCGTAACTCGCCATTGAAGGCCTCACGGTACCTGCAGATTAAACAGGCTCGTTTCAGATGATTTCAGTGACACAGACAAAGCATTTTCTGAAAAGCCCAGCTGTTCTCTTTGTATTACTCCTTTTAGCTTGAGCTCAGGAATGACAAAGAAAAGTACTTTTACCGTCTTCGTGTAATATTTTCGGGCATTTCATTCATACTCATTGAAATTGTGATCTTGGACTTTGGCCTCCTGTTTGCTCTTCGCTTCAAACAGGCCTTGCCTCCTACACCTCCTCCCACTGAACCTGGCACAGCGCGAGATGCTTTGTGCTGGGATGCAGAAGGCCAGCGCACAGCCGAGGAGCAGCAAATTCAGGGCAGATTAATCTGTGCTCCGACACCTTTTCAGTTCTTTCTTTTTGTTATACTTGGACACGTTCTATTTGTGTAGAAACAAGGTGAGAAGGATTGTAACATGTATATTCTGCGCTCCTTTCAAGCTTTGTTCTTTCTGAGCTAACCCAGCAGTTTGCCATTTCCATTTCCCACATATATTTTAAGATATATTGCTGGCAGATTATGCCAGCCGTATTTATATCTTCAGTTGTAATATGCATTAATTGTATTAACATTCACATTGCAGCATCGCATATATCTAGAGTGGGAAAATATTACAGTTGGCATTAATGCATTCCTGTTCTGACACATGAACCGACTCTCCTTTTGGAAAGAATTAGACTGAATATTCACTTAAGACTGTGATTTTAATCTCCTTTCACATTTGTATGTATGTTCTTCTTTATCCTCTCCCCCCCTTTTTTTTGGTCCTTTCAGTTCTGACTGTTTTTGTAATAAATAGAGTGTTTTACTAATCTACAGCTGACTCAAAGTCTCTTTAATAGTTTCGTACTGTCTGAAATTCCCACTGCCAGTTTGTCAGTTCGCTTCATCTCTTTCTAATGATTTACCTGCTATTATGAGGGTTATGGTGACGTTTCTAAAATAAGCACTGTGTTGGGCAGCTCAGCATCAGGTGGAAGGTACATGAATTAGGTGGTGCGGATCTCTGCTTTTATAGCCAAGATTAATTCTGCAAGAGGATAAATAAAGGATTTGCTCACTGTGGATGGGAGGGTGATGGTCTTAGATACGCTTCTGCTATCTTTTGCGGGCAGGTTCTCTGTCCTTGCCCTGAGCTGGCTGCAGGTTATGTCTCGGTGTTAGTTTGGTCCTTGCCTGAGGTCGTCTGTCCAGCTTCTTTGTGAGACTGGGTAGCCCAGACTCAGCGTAGGACTGACAGCAGCAGACTTCCAGGTAACGGCTGACTCACGTCTGGCCAGTATGGAGGTGAAAAACTCCCCATAAACTTGCTAACAGTGAGTAGCATGGGGAAAAAAAAAAAAAATCTCCCAGATTTAGCAACTTGGGATGAGAGCATCCTCCTCAGGGTGACCCCCCACCCGCACTTCCCAAGCCCGTACCCACGC